AACACGTCATGCCATGAATTCATAGAACACGTCATGCCATGAATTCATAGAACACGTCATGCCATGAATTCATAGAACACGTCATGCCATTAATTCATAGAACACGTCATGTCATGAATTCATAGAACCCGTCATGTCATTAATTCATAGAACACGTGGTGCCATGAATTCGTAGAACACCTCATGCCATGAATTCATAGAAAACCTCATGCCATGAATTCATAGAACACGTCATGCCATGAATTCATAGATCACGTCATGCCATGAATTCATAGAACACGTCATGCCATGAATTCATAGAAAACGTCATCCCATGAATTCATAGAACACGTCATGACATGAATTCGTAGAACACGTCATGCCATGAATTCAAAGAACACGTCATGCCATGAATTCATAGAACACGTCATGCCATGAATTCATAGAACACGTCATGCCATGAATTCAAAGAACACGTCATGCCATGAATTCATAGAACACGTCATGCCATGAATTCATAGAACACGTCATGCCATGAATTCATAGAACACGTCATGCCATGAATTCATAGAACACGTCATGCCATGAATTCATAGAACACGTCATGCCATGAATTCAAAGAACACGTCATGCCATGAATTCATAGAACACGTCATGCCATGAATTCATAGAACACGTCATGACATGAATTCGTAGAACACGTCATGCCATGAATTCAAAGAACACGTCATGCCATGAATTCATAGAACCCGTCGTGTCATTAATTCATAGAACACGTCATGCCACGAATTCATAGAACACGTCATGCCATGAATTCATAGAACACGTCATGCCATGAATTCATAGAACCCGTCATGTCATTAATTCATAGAACACGTCTTGCCACGAATTCATAGCACACGTAACGCCATGAATTTCTGACTATTTATAATCAGCAGAGTTTAAATTGATTTATTTTAAACCAACAAATAAACAAACATGTCTAGTATCTGGACAACAATTCACAGTTGTCTTTCTGTTACATTGATTTTTGGTCAAATGAGGTAAACACAAATATTGAATGTCAACACGGGATGGCATAAGTCCAAGATATTATCTTTTCCTTGTGTTAACACGTCACACCTTTGTCATTTAAAGACAGCTTGTTCAATGTGTTATGGTTGCAGAGCCGGGCCTAGAGGTGTCTTTGTTTGTAACAGTTTGGTTCTGGAATTGTAAAGCTTACTAAAATTTGTAAAGGAATTTTTTCCATCGTATTTGTTATATCTTGATACCGTAACAAGCTTTTTATTTAGCTTGAACAGAAAAACAGCAGAGTTACTCTAAGTGCAGAGCTCTGAAACATTCTGTTTTCGTTTCACGGTGCCCATGCTCAGTCAAAATGTAAAAAATATCATTGAAAAAATTTAAATAATGGAAATTAATTGATTACACGAGTGTGTTGATCATTGCACATTTTCAATTTTAAAAAAAGTATATATATTGCTAACTTGATACATTCATCTTCATTCCCCTCGCATTTTTCTTGCACGAAATACAAATTTAATACAAATAAAATTTCACAAATGGAATTAACATTCCATGATCAACGCCACCTCAATGCTTCACTTGAAATAATACACAATGATGATCAGTTATTATGATATCCGAACAAAATAATTATTTAGCAGTAACATAGACGGAAACCGACAGCCATTAAATACGAACACAAAGAACCAAGTCATTTCTCCGACAGCCATTAAATACGAACACAAAGAACCAAGTCATTTCTCCGACAGCTATTAAATACGAACACAAAGAACCAAGTCATTTCTAGAAACCACTGGCTAACGAAAACATTCGGATGTGTTTTTTTTTCTCTTTGTTTTTTTTTTAAAGAGCGATCTGCTCATTTATTTTGTGTTCTAAAATTATTTTTTTAAAATGAATCGAATGTAATCCATTAATACAGTAGAATCTGGTACTGTGTGAGCCCACCATCGTGTCACTTACACACTTGATGAGAAAAGTCAGGCTCTAATGAGAACTACAGAATGAGTACCGTGGCAAAATCTTCTATTTCAAGATAGTTAAACAACTCTTTTAAAAAAGTTCTTCGTGTACATCGCAGCATTTTACTGGTGCGACTTTGCGATGGCTGCCCGTCTCAATAAAACATGGCCTTATACTTCCTTCATCTTCCCTTAGAAAAACAGGAAAAACTTATTTTTGGATGGTGGATGGGACATTAAGTGTGATAGAATGTATTGTCTCCAGCAACGAGTCTATGTGCTAAGTTTCACTCGAAAGGAGTCAAATAGCCCTCGGAATATTTTGCAAGAAGAAACACACGAACAAAAGTGCACTTAATATCATAATTTGGAGGTTCCGGGTGGGGCTGAAAATTTGGCAAAAATGCATTCAAGTGGCGCTCTTTATAAAAATCTCAAATAGTGTTGTACCCCCCCCCCCCTTTTTTTTGGCTCGTGTTAGGGACTTGAGTGTATGGTGTGATTGCGTGTTGGTTTGAGATTATGTGTGTTGTTTTATCTATTATTCTTAGTATCTTGTGACGTATTGTGTGGAAAGGGATATGACGTATTATTATTGTAGATTTGGGTGTGGGGTGTTGTTCTTGGATTACAGTAACGGCAGTTGAAGAATTTGTTGATTAATAAAGATATTTCATCTAAGAATTATAGTTGTGAAGT